TCTTCTCAGAAGAATACCTTATTGACTTTTTCTTGTCAAAATAATTTTGTTTTCTCAGGAAAAGAACGAGCGTTCTTCCAACATGAATATGAAATAGAGTTTCTTCTCAAAGGAATTCTTATCCTTGGAAGAAGACCCATTTCTTTCCTCAGGAACCAGAATTCTTCTCCTCGGAATTGTAATTCTTCTCTGGTGACAAAGAATCTGAACTTATTAATTCATCTCTGAACAGGCAAGAATCTTTCAGAAAGAATTTAATTTATGTTCCAAAGAATTGAACCTAAGAGCTTTTTTTATTAGAATTCATCACTTTTCCACTTCCGTCAATCGTGGCAACCCAATGGTAGAAGGTGTTTTGGTATCAACCCATCTGCTGCTCTGTTTCCTTCCGTGTGTTACTTTAACATGTAAAGAAGCCCAGCGTAAACCGAGCGTCAGACATGATATATATAATATATCTTATATATAATAGAGCTTATCAGTTCTTCATCGATATATAATTATTTGGATTGTATAGGTTCTCTCATTTCTTAAATTTTTCGAAAAATAAATGACTTAGTTATTTGAGACTTATGACCAGCAGTCGACCTCGTGTATTTCCGTGGTATTCTGAGACAGCGTAAACCGAGCGTTAGACATGAGATACCTTTAAATGTCCTCGAGATCGCTAAGCAGTTTCTCATCGACCTTAAGTATTTTGGGTTGTTCAGGTTCTCTCTATTTCTGAAATTATTTAAGAACCGTGACCGGAAGTCGACCTCACGCAAATTCCAAGTGTCAACATCCATGGCTCCGTATCCTCAGAGCGTAAACTGAGCGCTTCACAAGAGATTATAAATCTCCTCGAGATCGCTTCCTCATCGACATATAATAGATTGTATAGGTACTCTCAATTTGTCAAAAATTTCAGAAAAATATCCGACTACCGGTCATTTATTAGTTGTTTGAAAGCATCATGGACCGGTTGCCGGTCATATAAGCAGAGTGTACAATCAACGAGAAACAAAATAACTTAACAATTTTCGACAACATATAGTTTTATTCTAACCTTAATTTACAAAATCGTCAAAAATTTCTCAATTGATACAGTTGCTTCCCTTTTGTATCTTTAAAGATCACAAGTTTGTTTTTCCAGTTCGAGGTTGTTTATAATCATGATTACAAACTTCGCTTCGATTACCATCGATTTCTATATAACCTCAGTCCTATGAGTGCTGACTTGTCTATGAGTATAGAAAGTTCGGCAAGAACAGTATGTTCTCTTTCTTATAACAAAGATTTTGTCCCTCCTCTTATGAATTCTGAAACAGCGATTCTTTCAATAAGATTTGCAATTAAACATGCTCTACTTCATTGTCTGCTAACAAGAAAACAGTTTCTAAAATTGAGATTCTTCTCAACATATTCAGGTATGATGCATTCTTGCCAGAGGAATACTCTTCTATTTAATCTTGTTGCAAGAACTTTTGATCCTTTTTGAAAGAATTTCAATCAAATTATTCTTGTGACAAGAATTTGGTTCTCAATAAGATAAAATGCGATTTTGGGAAATAGGAACGCGTCATATGCCCGAAATTTGGATAAGTTATCTATTCATTGCGATTCCTCATCGCGTCATTGCAAAATCAACCGTTCCATCGTGGAACTGCACCTTGATAATCTAACGCTCCTCCATAATTGATAGTCTATGTAAACATCTACACTGAGATGCTATCAAACTTTGTTTACCCCTTTGGCGGCACGAGAGAGTTCAGGTTCAGAGTTCAGTTCTGCTTCAGACAGTTAGAATATTGTATTCCCACACTATAGCACGCTTGTTTTAAATGCTGGCTATTCTTAAACTCTCCACGTGAAAACTCTTCCTGTATTAAGCTATATAAAGAATGGTTTCTGATCCAATGTACACAGCAGTAAAGCGATCTCCAACAGAAATGACACATCGTTGATGGGAAGTGCTTTAATACCGATGGGCCCAAATTCACTGAACGTGTATGAAAACCATGTTATAAGAAAACACCCAACTTAGCAATTGGAATAGTTCACGAAACATATCCAAAGTCTTTTCTCAAGACACCTTCTAATCTGGAAAGAGAAGTAACCAGGTGATTACCGATTACTTGTGTTTTAGTTTAGACTTCTTCTTTAGTTACAATACCATAGCAAAGTAAATTTTGCACTCAGCGAGTGGACAGTGGCTTTAAAGTTTCCGATCAGCCAGACAGCTGAAAAATCTAAAACTAAAGTGAAAGGATGGTTAATTCATGAGCAGCGATCATGGAAACTCGACCTGTGATGATAACCTGATCAAAAGTATGGCAATGCCATCATTAAACATTTTCCTATCCTTGGCCGGTTTTCATTAAAATCCAAAATCTGAAAAAGAAGGGCTATTTTAGTTTTACCTCCAAGAGACGAAAGACCTCCCTAGCATTAATCTTTTAAAAAGGCTTCAGCGCCGTGGAGTTCTCCATTTTGCAAAAAAAGCCATATCTTATTTCGTAATGTTTTGTAATTACTGGGATACCTGTGGTAGCCCAGTCATAAAATGCCTTTGTTTTTTTGTCGTCTTTTTTTTTTTTCCTCCGCCACAAAATGGAAAAATTGCGCAATAGTACACAGTGGTCATTGGCCTCTCAACACAACTAACTGTGATCCAATGAAGTGTTCACATGCTGATCACGCGTGTTATCTTGATGATGATTGACGTTGTCATGCACGGACAGGGCCGGGTCACATGACGAGCCACGGGATTTTTGCGTATAAAACTCTTTTGTCAGTCATTTTGTATTTCAATGTGTTTGGATTACGATCACCGGGAGCATCACGGCGCAAACGCTCAAAATACTTACAGACGCATACACAAGTCGTATTGTTCGCGGCCAATCCACGCTAAAAGATGTTATTGAGCGGTAATTTTGGAACGGATTGAGTTGCCAAAGCTTGAAAGCCATGAAAGCTTCTTGATGCCAGGGAACGTAGCTACGATAACAGTGCGAATGGTATTAATTTCACGATCAGAAAGGTGAATCTTATGTTTGTTTTCGTTGTAGTTGTATGGATATTCTTTTTTAATAAATACACGATCCAAAATCCTGTGTTTTTTGTGTATAATTTTAATATGTCAAGTAATGTTTACGCAATTGTCTTGTCACAGGCGGCCCAAGCTCACGCCTCGAGAAAAAGCCAACGATTAATTCATGAACGCGTCACGCGTTGTGTGACTCCATGTTAAATTACGAGAGGAACCGTTGAAAATTTGAACAATGGTATAGGGAACGAAATATGGTCGATTTACAACGACAAATATTTCTAAATATGAACATTTTTCTCGTAAAAACAATAAAACTTACTCATGCCCTGTGTATCCGTTGTAGTTTCTGGCGATTTCTGCCGTTTTAAGTTTGCTTTACCATCACTGTTATTCACGTCATCTACTTTTATTACGTTGGTAAAATCTGTATAGACATCACACCAACCAACTCGCGCGCAAAGTAAGAAGACTATATTGAAGGCTTGAAATTATTTTATGATCGATTTTAATCAAGAAATGGGCCAGGAATTTTCCACAGTAGTGCAAATTATCGTGAAGGCTGATCGCGGAAAAGCGATTGCGTGACGCTCGGTAAGCTGTAAGATGACATGTTATTATATACCAGACGTAAAAACTCTTCAGATTCTCAGTCTGCATTTTGTACCCACTCTGCAGTCTGCAGTCTATATTTTGTATCCGGTCTGCAGTCTGCAGTCTATATTTTGTATCCGGTCTGCAGTCTGCAGTCTATATTTTGTACCCACTCTGCAGTCTGTAGGCTATATTTTTGTATCCGGTCTGCAGTCTGCTGTCTGCGTTTTGTAGTAACAGGTATCCGTGGCACCAATACAATTTATTTTTGGCGACATTTATTCGCACAACACACATAATCTACCAAAAAATACCTGTGTGTGAGGTAATTCGACATTTTCGCTCTTTTCCGCGTTAATACTCTTCTTTCCTTTTGTAAGAATGTAGACCACTTACAATGTTTCAAGTTATCCACCCACTCTACAAAAATGTTAGCCAGACTTGAGCTCACCATTTCAGTGTACTAGTCCGACACCCATGGTATCACTACACTTGATTCCAAGGATCCAGTACCATCCAGGTATCCCAGTTACCCTGCTCAAAGGGTCTAGTTCAACATTGGTGGCCCGAAAAACTGAAACGTGAGTAAAATATGATTCTATCGTGTGGTATTATGTTCCCGAAGCGTTTGAAACATATGAAAATGCATCTACTTGAATGTTTGCAAGTTTACAGTGGATAATTTATCTTAGTGGCTAAACAAGATAACAGATGGCCGTTCCCTCATGGCCCCCATGTTGGTGCCCCATAGAAAGGCAGCAACACGGCGTCCTCATACCGAGCTCTATAAATTAAATTTATTACAGACATTTTGGCAATAACTCATCTGCGGAAAACCCTAAAGCCCCGAAACTTAGGCAAATCGTTTATTAATCAATATTATTCATCAGGTCACTCCCTTAACGTGAGGCATTCAATAGTTTGATCAGTTTTAGATTTCGATTGTGTAATAATGAAAAACAAAAGTACTCACCGAGGACTTCGACGAAGGTACTTATATTAGACAACAGATTTCAACTTTCACTGGCAAAATCCATCTGCGAAGTTGGTGGGGGGCGATGAAGCTTAGCGCAGTTTTGTAATTCTTAGTGACTTAAAATCTCTTGGACAAGGGGGCGGAGAGCACGAGTCAGAAACTCTGAAAAAACTTGGTAGTGAAAATATCTGATTAAGACCTGTCACTTGTGTCTGTCAAACATTTCGCGGGTACAGGCTGAGAAAGAAGTATGGACAGAGATGGTCATGGAAAGAATCGCACGACGTAAACGAACGAAGCGGCACTTTTGATGGAAATATTTGTCATGGCGTTGTGTTAAAATCGGCACTCCGGTCGATACAAAAAGAGAACAGAATACAATTATCTTTTTTACAACTCACTTTATTATTGACTCTAAAAATATCTCGGGCAACCTGGGATTATAATAACAAAAATGATTAATATGGTGTAGTCACTGAAAGAAACAGGCATCAAAACATGTATTTATCACGAAAACTCCTCTATAGCACATCTGCCTTAAAATGAAGCAGTCCTCAACTGAAGAAAAACGTTGGTACGATCTATCTATTTCATACTTCGTATTCCAAAAAGGAAACACCTATATTTGGGAAACTGGCTAGCACTGTAAGTCTCAAATCTAGTCCTCAATTAGAGGTCCTAATTATTCGTACGTTCGTAACCTTTCAAAATCTGAAACCCTAAGTTTACATTTTAACGTTTAGTTTCGTTTAGTTCGTCTGCTTTTGTGGACGAGAGTTTAAGTTTCGCTTTAAAGCTTTAGAAACTTACGTAACGTTCAACTTTGTTATTGATTTAAAATGTATGCATCACCCAATACTGCTAATCTACTTAATATGAGAATCTAAAACATGGAAGACGGTTTTGTTCTCCCCCAACTTGTTTAACTCTCCATATCACACTTACAGTGAATATATAGTCATAGGCGTCTCTAAATATGACAAGAGTTAAATTCCTAGTTCATCAGTCAAGCAATGTCAGCATCGTGTGAGCCAGTCTGCACCAACCTGGGAATCCATCTTTTTCTCCAATAGCACTGATCCTACGCATCATCGATGGAGACACGTGATGCAGAGCGCGAGCAATGCTCATGGCTCTGTGGGACCACTCATGGGACAGAACATCAAAGTAACAAGAGGTGTGAACATCGTTGACCAGAATAGTGCCGCTCAGGGTTACTGGGGCGTATGCACCTTTCTCGTAGACAGTGCTGATGCTCTGAACTAAATCCTTCTCTGAACCATGGCTTCCCCTCACGTACACTGTGTCTCCGATCTTAACATCTCTGGCAGGGATGGCTGTTGCTTGGCCCATTAATTCCACAAACAGGAGATGGTCAGCAGTTATCGGGAGGATTTTTTTTTTTTTGGTGACAATTTTTAAAAATTCCTCCACAATTTCTGGCTGACGGTGGATGAAGGTGATAACTGTATCGGACTTGATGCCATTCTTTGTAATGGCTAGGACTTTGTCACCAACTTGCAAAGATTCTATTGGCCTTGCTCGGGAGTTTGAATCATAGATAATGGCTGAGCCAGGATAACATCCACCGAAAAAACTATAAAAACCACCATAACTATTAAAACCACCATAACTACTAGAACCACCATAACTACTAGAACCACCATAACTACTTGAACCACCATAACTACTAGAACCACCATAACTACTAGAACCACCACCAGTACCAATACCAATACCACTTCTTGCGAGCACCATCGCGGTTAATGGTCCTGACTCAAGCAAACCATCGGAAAATTGTGCGAGTTCTACAACTTCCGTCAACCTTTTCTTTGCGGCTTCCAACTCCGCGTATTCCTTTTTCAGTCTAGCGAAGCGTTCTTCCAACTTACGTTTCTCTTCATCACTTTTGTCTTTGTCTTCAAGTAGCCTTTTGATTTCTTCCTCTTTTTGACAAATAGCCTCTTCCTGCTTCGTTATTCCACTCTCGTCCAAGGCTTTTTTTATATGTTCTTCAAGCACTTCTTCGGACACCCTGGTCATGCGGTGTATGAAAGGCCCTCTTTGCTTCCTCACCTCGTCAATAATCTAAGAAAAACAAATAAACTTAAGAGAAAAAAATCGAAGCACAAAGTTTAAGGGATGAAAGGGAGTTAATAGTTTTCTACATTGTGCAAATTCCAAGAAACTTGAAAACGCATTTGCTATAGTCAATCATTTTGTTCGAGGAATAAACGAACAAATGACATTGAGGAAATCTGGCAACGCACTTTGAACATTTGATTGTCTGAAATTATACTTCATCAAACAATATTGCGTGTGCCATGTCAAAACGACCGCAACATTGATTATCTGCAATTACCGAAGGCAGTCAACTACCTCTCACAACAACTTCTTGATATTTTTTCAAGTTCCTTCCACTACTTACACGAGGGCGTACAGGTGTATGTGGTATCTCAATAGTGGAGCTTTAGGATTTAAATTTCGCTTTTGCGAAATTCCCACACATAGGAAAATATTGCAACCTATCAAGCCCATATAATTCCGTTTTACGCTCTAGGCCAGATGAATTTTTTTGAGACTACAACACGCAAAGAAATTGAAGGAGACAAAAAACCCTTAAAAATTTAGTCCCTGGAAAGGAAATGCATGATGAAGTGTCCAAAAACTCAGGCTGGGAGTTTTTATATTCCTCTTGACCATTTATACACTCTGGTGCTGACGAGGAAAATTTGTTTGTCAACCAGGATCCTCTTAAAATGGAATCTTTTCCCTCATTCTCGTAACCTTAACATTTGATTCAAGTAAGATATTGCAAAGAGATTTTGGAAGCCAGGCCCTCTTAGGAATTAAAAGGACAACAATAGCTAACCCTAAAACCAAATAAGTTTGAGAATAAAGGGGAAACTTAAAGTGATAAAAGTTAACCCTAAGAAGGGTTAGCCATCAAGAATCCGAGGTACAGAAAAGGCATTCAAAGTTCCCCCTTAAAAATATATCATTTTCCCCGCGTGAATATCTTTTTTATCTTATTCAATGTCACACTCATGTGACAGGAGCAAACTGCTTTCTTTGAACGATCACTATGCCAAATACAGATTTTTCCGACAATTCTTTTCCAGAAAACCTAACGGGCCATTCTAAAGGTCAAGTTTCTCTAAGATTGAAGTCCCTTTTTAGAGACAAGTGAATTCTCACCTTTCGCCTATTCCTGAAAAAAGTTACACCATTACTAAGTAACAAAAAGGTTAGTCACCTATGTAACTGCTGACCTACAACGACTAGCCCTACACATTTTGCTCTCAAAATGGACTTTTACCTGAAGTAGCTTAGAGACCTGCTTCTTACAATCATCAGGCTTTTCTCTGGGATCCAAAGTGTTGTCGAACAGCATTGTTCTTTCTCCTATTTCCTTCACAAACTGTAAGACCCAAGGTGGCAAGGTAGCGATGTAGGATTTCTTCTCATCTTCAATGCTCACATCCTTTTCCTTTGCATTGCGGGCAGCCTGGTCGCCATGTGTTAGAATTAAAATCATATAAGCTAAGGCTTCAGTCCCAAAAAAACTTCTAAGTATTTTCAAAGCTTCGGCATCCTCAAGCCCAAATCTGCCACCGTAGTTAAGGGTGATGATAATAGCATCAAGACCTTTAGGGGACATGACAAAAACCTTAGCGAGTTCTCGAAGAATAACCTTATGTGACGCACTGAGAGAAGTAATCATTTCCTTGATTCTTTCCATTTTAAAGACTGCGGCCGTATCCATGATTCCTGGGGTGTCTATCACGGTCAGCTTTCTTTCATCTTCTCTCTTGCTTGCATCGCACTCTTTCGTCATAGACGAGCCACTTGGGCTGGCTTTGAAACGTTTACATCCAAGTATTGAATTTCCTGTGGCGCTTTTTCCGCTCCCAGTCTTTCCAAACAGAACAATCGTCAGAGGATCTCCTGATGGCAGCTTTTAAAAAACATTTAACGATAAAAAGAACGTTAGAAAAACAGAGATCAGCTGTGCCCAGATCTCTGACAAGCACGTACCGCTCCTTGACGGATAGATCCCTGTTAGCATTGAATAGGGAGTAACAAGTCTACCAATAAGTAACTGAGTCTAGTAAATCGTAAACTGAAGCTTTTGGAGACATGGTGCACCAGATCTGCTGCCGCTAAGAAGTCTCATCTAATTTTCAAATGTGTTAAAAAGGATAAATATCTGTGCGCATAACCAGGTGGTCTGTTTAAGTTTGGAAAATCACTCTAATTGAATATTTGGGTTTTCCAAATAATATGATTGAATATTTCGAAATTTAATCGTGAAAATTATTTCAAATGGGTTTATAAAAGATTTAGATGACATATCAAACACTTCAAACGCTGCTATCTGGTTCCTTGCTACCTCCCCTCCCTCCCGTCACCTTTTACCGCCCCTAAGATTGCATGATCCACCCTCTCAAAACCACCCCTTGAATCGATTTTGTGTGACCATTATTGTAGCTTCTATAGTTTTGACGACGATTCTCACCTTGATTGTGGCAACTGGTTCCTGTGAAAGAAAACAAATTGAATAAAGATATGTTGTAGCCTCACCACGACAATCTCTTATTCTACCAGTGAAGACAAAGTGCATCAAGAAAAATCGATACCCTTTGCATGATTGATCGGTTTAGCTAACCGTGCCCCACTGAACCACACGTTAGAATTTCAAATAGACGTAAATATAGTTAGGAATACTACAGTTCCAAAACAGTGGAAATCAAAATTTTAGAGGTGACGAAAAAGCCTACGAGATAAATATTATTCTCAGGCTCATAGGCGATGCGAATCATAGCTGGAAAAAAGAAAACTAAACGTCCTGACTTCAGTCATTTTCCTTTTGTTTCGTAAATGGAAAGTGTATCATTTATTTACTCCATGTGACATGGCCTGAAGCCTTCTCACTCCCTTTTAAGGCCACCCTCATTTTTTTCTCCGTTTAGTATCGTCCGACCGACCCAAACGACGACGTAGTTAAACCATTTTTAACTTTAAATAATTCTTCTAATCTGAAACGGAGAATAACAACAGCGTAGAGAAAAACAGGAACAAAAGCAGGAAAAATTTTTATAGTAGACTATGGATTTTTTAATCCAAATACGTAGATTTAGCTTTTAACTTCATCCTCGTTGTTAATCCACTGAGATATAAATGATAATTTTAAACGTCATCCTCATCACCATGGTATGTCGCATAGGAGTTTCGCTGGTTGATCCTTTTTCCCACGTTGTCCTAATTTTACAATTACATCAACAAGCGTTTCCGCCATATCCATTTTGGGTTCATGTCTTGTTGTTTCCAGGCTCCACAGCAAGATATTAGGGTACCAAGCCTCCTATTCAGAGACTTCTACTAATTTTTTTTTCCAATCCGACCGACTGACCCAATATCAGAAAACGCATTTAACGCTAAACGGAAAAATGGGGGGGGGGGGGGGGTGGCCTAAGGTCGTGTAAGGTGGTACTTTTACCTCTGTGAATACAATCACCATCGTTATTTTCATCAGCGTTACCGCCGTCATTGTCATCATCATCGTCATCATCGCTATCTTCACCGTCGCCTAACGGTGTTATGTCGTCTTCGTCTTCTGAGACTTAATTGTTATCATTAGTGCTATTATTTATCATCTTGCTCACCTTTTTTTTTAGTATCTTTTTCCATTCACGGTTAAATTTCCCCTTTAAATCGAGTCCTCCACGAACCTTCTTGTATGCCTCCCTACATTCTTTGATTTTGTTTGGCCCATTCACGCTGTTGATTGCCTTAATTGCTTCTTTAACCTTTTCTTGTAGCTCCATAACCTCGCTGCAAAATTCTTCAACGTCCTCATCTTCTTTGTCTGCGAGGTATGCCTCAACTAGAGCTTGGGTGTTTTGAAGATCATCAAAACGGCTTTCCAGATCCTCTATATCGCTGGTCAAAACCTGCTGTTGTATGAACACTTTCGCCCTTGGAATAACGCTATTCACAGGCTGAAGCTCAAACTGCAAATAAGCAAAGAACTTTGTAACGACTCCGTGAGTACACCACTTCATTTTCGATTTTTAAGAATCTCTTACGGTGCAATAGAATGCTCCACAAATGTATTCTACGAGACAATCTGATAGAATCTATATATTGCCAAAATTTTCAAGAAGAAGTATCCAAAAAAATGGATCAACATCAGTGTCTGAACAACTATGCCCCTCCCCTAACCAACAACAGTCAACCGCCTGAGCTAGGGCTAATGCTGGGTTAGGGGAGGGGTAGGTGCGCAGTTGCTCAGACACTTACATTGATCCAAAAAGAATACCTCGTTAAAAAACTCTCCGACCCCATATTTAGAAAAAAATATAAAATTTTAAGGGTAACTGACGGCTAACAAGTCATTTTTTTGGAATACCATCTAAATGCCTCGGGTAACACATTGAAACAGATACAAGGTGCTTCGTATACCTCTCTGTGCCTTTTTTCGCTGGGAAAACTGTCCTAAATGCAGCTTTGCGAGTCATCCGCCGTAAACGTCTCGATTTTGATCACGTGACCTTACACGTCATACGTGTGTACACTAAGCAAAGTAAATATGGCAAATAATAATAATACGCCTTTAGCCCGAACATGGGTATATCCTCAGTTTTCCTCTGTTCGGCTCTACGTCGAGCCTTCTTTTTTCATAATCCTGGACCCTCTTAGAGTTGTATGCGTAACAGACTACTCTTGTGAGTCTCTCCCATTCGGCTCTGTTGTTCATGGTTGAAAGCCACTGATCTAAGACATGATCGCACTTCAAAGCACTTTTGCAAGTGTCCTTGAACCGAAGCTTGGGTCGGCCTATAGAGCGAGAACCATGAGCCAACTCACAGTACAAGAGCTGCTTTACCGGCCTATCATTGTTCATTCGACAATTGTGTCCTAACCAACGCAGACGGGTCCTTACTAACATCACCTCCATGTCTTCAACGTCAGCGCGTCGCAACACCTCTTCATTGCTGATGTAATCGTTCCATTTAATGTTTAAGATGAGACGTAGATGACGCTGTTGTATTGTATGGAGCTGCATAATTTCATGTTGATATAGAGTCCAAGTTTCACTTCCATACATCAGAGAGGACATTGGAAAGGACATTAGGGTTGTACACAGCGACTTTAGTTGAAGCTGTTAGATCATGTGAGTCGAAAACTCTCTTTCCCAGTCGACCAAAAGCACATGACATTGCTTGAATACGAGATGCAAGTTCCTCCTTCATAGAGCAGTCGCTGCTGACATAGCTGCCGAGGTACTTGAAACGAGTGACGTTAGCTAACTTGGTGCCCTCTACGAAGAAATCAGCTGTGTTACCAATACAGATAGTCTCTGCTTTGACCGTGTTGATGCACAGGCCCATCCTCTTAGCGACGTCATTATAGGAGGTCAAAAACGATTGCAGACCCTCTGGCGTGTCACTGAAAATAGCAATGTCATCAGCATACTGAGCTTATCTGATGAACTCTGTTAGGGCTTTGGTTTTTGCTTTAAGCCTGCGTAGGTCAAAAAGATCTCCATATTAACGTAACCTGATCTGTACACTGCAAGTGTGTTTGATTTTCTTGAAGGCAAGCCATAGTAAGACTGCTGCATAGATGCCAAAGAGTGTTGGGGCTAGTTTGCACCCCTGCTTAACCCCACTATTGTATTCAAGGGATTGGGTCAGTTCACCATCAACTATAAGTCTGGCGTGTATATCTGTATATAGCTTCTTGATGATTCTTATAAACTTTGGCGGACAGCCAAGTTTGCGAAGGATGATGAAAAGAAGCTCGCGATTTACCGTGTCGAACGCCTTGACAAAATCCACGAAGGCTTTGTACAAGCATCTACGTTGCTCTCTTGTTTTTTCCATCAGCTGCCGAAGCGTGAAAATTCCGTCTATTGTGCTTCTTCCGTTACGGTACCCTGACTGCGACTGGGGATACATGAATTCCACTAGCAGGTGTAGCCTCTGCAAAATGACGTCCGCCAATACTTTTCCAACGGCACTGAGTAGCGATATGCCCCTGTAATTACTGCAATGACTTCTGTCACCCTTTTTGAACAACATGGCGATGTTCGCATCCATCCAGTCCAATGGGATTATCTCTGTAACCCAGCAGATGTTGAAAAGGACAAGCAGGAAAGCTCTCAGACGATGTCCAACATTCACAAGTATTTCAGGAAGAATGCCATCAGGACCTGGGCTCTTTCCTAGTCGGGTGTTTCTAAGAGCTTGGTCAAGTTCTTTCTCTTCAATTGGGCGGCTCACTGATCCAATGACTGGAAGCTGGTCTATGCCATCGGCAATGGTCAAGTCAGCATCAGTTGGTTGGTTTAGTAAGTCGCTGAAATGTTCAACCCATCTGTCTTTTATCGTGTCAGGGGCAGTCAGGAGCTCGCCATCTTTGGAATTCACTGGATGAGAGGTTCTGGATCTTGGACCATAAACAGCATTTAGAGTGGCATAGAAGTCTCTGTGGTTCTTCTCCTGAGAGTACCGCTCTGCTTCTTCAGCTCTATGTCGGAACCAATTGTTTTTGAGCTCTCTAATGCGCCTTCTCAAAACATGCCTGTCCATGTTCTTATCTTGGAGGAGTTTTTGAATTGTATCATCCTGATCATCGAACCAGTCGTTTTGCACTCTTTTCTTCTTGCCAAAGACATGGGCAGCAGCGTTCTGGAGAACAACTCTGAGCTCGAAAACGACAGTGTTACAAGTGGACAGCCTCTCATCTAGAAACTGTTCCAGCAATACTTTCTTGTCGTCATCTAAGCGTGTGTCTAGTTTTTTGGGGAGTCTTGTACCTCTCTTCTTGTTCTTGATGGAGAAGAGACACTTAGACATAAGGAGCTTGTGATCAGTGAAGCAGTTTGCTGCACGATTGACTTTTGTCAGTGTAACATATGACTTTGCAACCTTGTTGGATAGTACATGGTCGAGCTGATGCCAATGTTTTGAACGAATGTGTTGCCATGTGTTCTTTAAGCTGTCTTTCAGTTGGAACATTGTGCCCATGATACTGAGCTGAAATCTGGTGCAAAATTCCAAGAGTATGAGGCCGCTGGAATTCATCTTTCCAACACCATGCTTACCGATGACATTCGGCCATGATTTCCAGTCTGAGCCCACACGAGCGTTAAAGTCATCTAAAATGATAACGCTGTCCATTTCGGCAGCTGATACACAGCTACCGAGCATTTCATAGAACTGTTTTCTTCCTGCGGTCTTTACATGGTTGGTGCATAAACGCAGATGAGTGTTAGATTGTCGTCACCCTTAAGCTGTATGCGCATTGACATAAGTCTGTCACTGATTGGTGTAGGGCTAATACCTTGAGCAGCTAGCCAGTTGGAGACAGCAAAACCAACGCCCGCTGTTCTCTTTTCTCCTCCACTCCAGAAAATTGTATGACTCCTCTCGACTATGTTTCCCGTGCCAGGTCGTCGAACTTCACTTAGAGCACAGAAGTCGATGCTCGCTTTCTCTAATTCACGACAGATGAGGGCAGTTGCTCGCTCCGGTCTTATTGAGGAGTCACTGTCGTTGGTCGTACAAACATTCCAAGCTCTAAGGTTAAGACGTTGTTTGCTTCAGGCATTGGAATTAGAGGGTAGATGGTGTCGTTCGTCGGTTTCCCCGGATGCGGTAGCAGCAGTATACGGACTTCGTCCACTTGTCGCTACCGCCGTATCGAGTGGCGCATCGGTTCCCCCGTATGCGGTAGTCATATCTTCACTCCTTGTCTATACTTCCATTAAAACTGTGGGGCTGCACCTATGATGTCGACACTGCTTGGCGCATGGGCAGCGTCCCTTGGCGAGGAACTCTGTTGATCGACAACACAGCAAAGCTGAGATGGTCGCAGAGAAGCTCGTTGCATGCTGTCAGAACTGAAGCCGAATTAACTGTCAGGACTACCGTTGCCGGAGCTGGAGCCGAGTTGACTATCAGGACCGCCTTGCATGATGGCTGATGGCTGATGGCTCACAAGGAGCTCATGCGCCGTTTAGCAGGTGTTGTTTTTAGTCCTGCAAGGGTGACATGCCACCCTCCTCACCAAAAAACAGCTGGTGTGGGGAGCCAGCTTAGACGCCGACCACCCGTTCGTGCGGCAGGTTGTACTGGGTTACATGGTACCAGTAGCAGACACAATGTCTGACCTGACCTATATAGCAAATGGTACTTCGAGTAAAAGCAGTTTTATTTGGGGGTCTGATTATTTTGATTTTGAGGCCTCGATGGAAGGTGAACATGATAAAAGGGATTATGAATCTGTTGGTGAAATCAGGCCCTGGAAATTTAAACCGCCAGGACGAACGTAACTTAAAATAGAGCGCAAGAGTCAGAAGAGGATCAAGAGCCCGTGCGCCGCGGCTGCCTCAATCAAGAAAGCGAGAATGATGAGTGCATTTACATTCCACCTCCGCCGGCCGCGGCACACGGGCTCACGAAAGAAGTGTAAGGAGAAACACTCGACTACGTCTCGTGTTTCTCCCTACTTCTTGAGTGCTCTAGCCACTTCCTAAGTGCTTTAGAATAGAACAGAGCACAGTCAAGGCTTCTCTTTTTTTTTTATAATAAAGAATCTGTTAAATTTCTCAAGCAAGCTCCCAAGCATTACTTTCAATTTTCAAAACAAACTTTATTTCTAAAGCGAACAACAGTGTCGTCAGCATGCTCTATAATCTCATAAAGCACGCTACAATAAGACAATCAGAATCCCTGTTAGAATGGTTCAAATAGTCTGATTGGCTGTACAAGACTAAAGCTGTCAAAAATGTCAAACCATCAAAGTTCTCATTCTGCAAAAGTTTAAAAACTTGAATATTTCGAATTTAACACTTCTGCCTGAAGTTTTTTAGTCTCCAATACAGAATCTGAAAGTGAAATGTTCTGTGAAACTCGGCAGAATTGTGGCTCATAAAAACACGCAAGTTTTTCCCAAGACAAGTAGAAAGCAAACAGTTCAAGGCGAGTATTTTATGAATGAACGA